CCTGCTGTTTTGGGGAAAATGATTTCTAGGAACTGCGAAATCTGAAGTGAAAGTGTACTCTGTTCACTGCCCTGGCCGGCACGTAGCCTCTAAGAATGATGTGTGTCGTTTTGACTTCTGCCGAAGAACCTCTCACCGCCTCAAATTTTTGCCGCTTGTATTGATGCGTTAACTTGGGTAGTATTGACAGTAACGTCCGCTAATAAAATTTGTATCACAGTTTCCGGTTGGAGATGACGCGTCCCAAGGAGCGGTACCCTGGAGGTTTTATGAAATTTGCGGAATATCACTCCATAAAGATCTTGCGTATATAATTAATGCTTCAACACAGAAAGTATTGCCATCCTGGTTTTGCCTTTTCGGAGGTTTTAGACCGCTGATAATACAGTACAACTTCTGGGGAGCAATAACTTGGGAAGGACGGCTTTTTTAGTGCTACCTGTACGGAGAAAAAAGTTGAAAGATGCGCGAGTGCGGGTTTAAAGTCAGCTACATTTAGCGCCTTCACGCAACCTTGTTCATTCATCTGCAGCAAAAAAAAATGTTTTGGTGAAAATCCAGCTGATTTCAGGTGTTCTTTCTCGTTTCATCTTACGGGACCGTCTACTTGATGTGGATAAAATTTCGAGCCACTTATGACCAGTAATTTTCTTTAATTTTTCATAGCTCGAGAATCCTTGAAATAGTCTCATTCGTGTTTCTTTCTTTCTAAATTCAGGCTAAAAAGTTTTTTTATCAGTTTAGACTGTTTTTTGCGCGTTGGTTTCTAACAAAAAATCATTTTCTCTCTCGCTTTAAATAGCACACTAAAATCGGAGAATTTCAGGAACCATGACACTTTTCGCATGGAATTTTTGGTCGTTCCAGCAGTAGTACTTGCTCTTTTTATCAATCACCATTTTTCGTTCATGGAAGTAAGGATTTCTTAGTGAGAACAATAATTTTTAAGTTGGGTCTTTCTCTTGCATGGATTGCGTGGCTCTAGAGCTTCAGAGACTTTGGTTAGTGGTGGAACGTATAAGCTGCAAAACTATGGATTTTCACTGGATGGGCTACACTGTTTTTCTATTTGTTCAGTAGAAAAAACATCGACAAAAATTGAAAATAAAATGAACCAGCTGTGTTTCTGCTGATCTAGGATCGATTTAGATCGCTTTTACTCTCGCTTTTGATGTGAATTCAGCTCTTTTCAGCTGAATCAACTGATGGGAAGCTGTTGTTGTTTTAATTCGAGTTTCTT